CTCCCAGTCCTACCAAGCTCTTGACTTCAATGTTATTTCTATATTACACTTAAAAGAAATATCTTTTCATTGCATTCAAACTTACTTCCTTTCAGTATCATGAAAACTCTTGGTCACAGCTATTCAGCTCTCCCAAATAAATTATTTTCTAATAGTATGTTATTTTTTATCTGTAATATGTCTGTTCTTACCAGTCTCCAGTCCAAATTCAGCAGCCCCAGTATAACAGTCTTTTCACACCGCTTCCTATTTTGTCACTGAAACCTTCTGCATTTCTGCTATCTTTGTCTTAAATCAGTGCTGCCCAGACTTTCTGCTCTCATTACCTTTCTTCTCAAGAACTCCTCAAATGCAAATATGGTGCCATCTGTCTCAGGGTTTCCTCAGTCCTTCTCCCATCTCTCCATGAGGTGCATGCCTGCATCTCTTGTCCAGGGAAGATGAATCTTCATTCAACCCTGAGCCTGCTACTAAGAAACCACAAAGAAAGCCCCTCCCTACAAACAAGCTTCAGGTTGGATGAGTTTCGTAACTGAGCCACAAACAGTCCAAGGACTGTAGACTCTTCTTTTTTTTTTTTGTCAGAATACTTGGAAATAAATGACAGTTTTCCTATTTTTTTATACAGCTGAACTGTAAACTTTTCAGTAGTATGTATACCTTTCTTGCTCCTTAACTTACAGTCATCAAAAGCTTGTCCAAAGATCCTTGTAGGAACATGGAAGTAGGATGTTTTGCATGTGGTTTGGAAAGTCATAGCTAGATCTGTAAATCTGATTACAATAAAAAGGGAGTTCTCTTGCTCTCATCACAGTCACTAGACAATTATTTTAGATGAGCTTACAAACTGGGCCTTGGACCAGGAAGTGATTGCAGGTATCCGATGTTTTCACACAGTTGCAGCGATGCAGGAATCGGGCACGGAGCGGCCCCTGCCCTGGCGAGGAGGACGTGTCCTGCAGCTGGCAGCCACCCAGTGCCACACAGCCACTGGGCACCCTCTGCGCTACTGGGCTCTGCAGGCAGCTGCAGCTGGACACCAGCTCCAGAAAAAAGCCCAGCTCCTGAACTGACAGCCTTCCTTACCTCAGGAGATGAGATACAACTGCAATGATGCAGTCAAGAGATGTGCTGTCTGTCCTGCACTTGCAGTGGGTATTGCCAGAGGCTTAATGGCCAGTCCAGTGCTCCTGCCTGCCAGTGTTGATAGTCTGTGTGACCTGGGTCACAGCTCAGGTTTTGTTCCTGAGGCTGTCCCAGTGCATCTCTCACTCTGCACACCGTCTTAGCAAAAAGAACACAGTTCACCCTGCGCAGTACAAGTGGCTGCTAATAACTTACTTTCTCTCTTGTTTGAGTATTCCCAGCTCATCGACCTTTCCAGGCTACTGCAGGGTCCATAAGAGTAAGTGGGAAAGGGCAAAGCATCTCTGGGTAGGATGTTTAAGGAGAGGAATATGAGGGGTGAGGAGGGTCTACCCCAGTTTGTGACACCAGGTCATCTGTAGATGTCGTGATGAGTGAGAGCTGAAGTGCTGTGTTTCACTTCTGAAAGTATTCTGACTTATTTTGTTTTACTTTCCCTTTGAACTGATGACAAGATTGCCTAATAGAATCATAGAATCACTATGGTTGGAAAGGACCTCTAGGATCATCAATTCCATCCTTCTTCCTAACATTTCCCTAACCACCAGACCATAGCCTCAAGTGCTACATCCACTCATTTATTGAACACCTCCAGGGACGATGACTCCACCACCTCCCTGGGCAGCCTGTTCCAGTGCCTAAGCACTCTCTCAGTGAAGAAATTCTTCCTAATATCCAACTGAAACCTTCCCTGGTGCAACTTGAGGCCATTTCCTCTTGTCCTATCATCAGTAATTTGGGTAAATTACAATACTTAGAACTGACATTTTAACTGTTATGTTTGTACACCAGCAGTAGGTTGGTGTCCCACAGGTGCATGGTTGGGAGGTAGCCAGGTGTCCCCCATCCCCAGCTGCCAGCCCTGAGCTCTCGAGCCAGTTGCTCGAGGTGTAAAACACCTCATGAGCACTGGAAACACCTCAAGTTTCCAAACTGGAAAACATGAGCTGCTGCTCTCTGAACTACTGCATCTTGGCCCTGGAGAGGAGGACACAGCAGCAGCATAAATGTCTCCAATTAATAAGCTGTTGGAGGAGGACTGGGGGCCCACTTTTGATGGATTATGGTAATGTATGTTAAAAGATTTCCACCTTCTGTGGAAAGAAGAGCAAACCTATAGTTTCCCCCAGTTTGGGTGAGGGTCTCTGGAGTTTTCAGGGAGCTGGACTGATACCTTTAAGATGAAATTTGATGCAATGTAAAATGATTTTCTCTACAAAACATGCTCTTCTGGGAAATAAATGATGGAAAAGAAGACTATTTATTATTCACTCATTTAAAAGAAGCTGTTGGCAATGATTTAGTCAGATGCCTTTGGCTAGTAAAGATAATAAAGGATTAGTCATCAATACTGCACTGAAAGGAAAAGGTCAAATTTGTCATTGGTCTAAATCCAAGAGGCTAGTTTTTGTTCTGTTATTTCAAAATGGCAGCCTCCAGTCCTGCTTTGATTTTCACACTGCAAAATAATTCCAGCAGAGATGCAGACTCCTCCATGGAATATTTAAACCTGTTAAATGTCCTCACTTTATCTGAGTTGCTTTTTCAAAATCCATCAACAATAATTTGTGCAGCCTCAAGTAGTTATGTGGTACAAGCTAACAAGTGCTGTATTAAAGCAAAGACTTAGGCCATTGTCAGGTACAAAGAACCAGATCCAGCTTCTGAATTTACAGACCCAAGCAGATTTCCTTGGAGAAGTTGTTCCACAGCAAAGACTCTTGGATGAATTCCTGACTTGGATTTTCAGAACTGCTGTGGGGCAGGATTTCAGCAATGCCAAGATTTCACTCCCTCAACAGCAACAACAACAATAACAAAATGGCTAATGCCTCCTGGTTCCCTTGTGATGGTACTTATACTTTGCATGCTGGTTCTTTCTGTCCTGCATCCACTGCATCCATGGTAGGTAGGTCAACGGCTGATTTTTGACCTCTTGTTACTCCAGGAAAAGTCACTTTTCAAGGGCCTGTAGCCTTTATCCTGCAACAGCAGCATCAGGAAGCACCACAGCAACAATCAACTTTGCTGGGCGCTGAGAAGTGCCAGCTCATGATAGAAACTTCTGTTTGCATCAGCTGTAAAAATGAAGAGACTCTCAAACATAACTGCTTTTGACAAAGGATAAAGCAAGTCCTGCTCCAATCTGGTGTATAAGTTCCCCTCCTAATTTACTTTATATGGTTTGATATCATTCTGCTACACAGCTTGTTTTTTCAGAGTTTCCATAGCTGTTCAGGTCCAGCTTGTCAGTATTACTTCAACAGGCAGATCAGATTGCTAAAACTGGTTTTGCATACTTGTAACTTCAGCATCCCATTCCTTGTGGGCAAAACAAATAATTTTTGATAACACTACTTCAAAAAGCATTCCTTTCCATACTGCAATAAATATGACAACTGTGGTATCACTGTCTGAAAAATATTTTCCGTACCTCTAAGGTTTCACTGCATTTAGAAATATTTAGAACTTCTACATCACAACTGTCTTAATTGCTGGAAATCTGGCCTGCCTTGCTTTGGAAAGCAGTGCATACATGAACGTGTTGTTGCTTGTACTCTGCTTGCTCATTTTCAGATGCACAGTATGATTTAATCTAGATTTATAATGTTATGACACTTTATGTCCCAGCTTGCTTAAGTTGGTATTGGCAACCTGGGATGTGATTACTTATCAGCAGTGTTTTTATACTGGTATGATGAGTACCATCCAAAGCAAGAGGGAAAAAAAAAAAGAAATTAGGAGTGTAGATTTTACCATGTACAGAACTTAGTTGGACAGGTAAAAGAAATACCTGACATATATGAACATAACTTCTTTATTTCACTCTCCCAGAGATGATATGGGATACACACACCTGAAGCAAAGATACATGAAAATTAAAACCATACAAGCACAAACTATTTGCTCCTACACATGCTAATGCTAGTGTTAGCACAGCTTTTGTCTGAGGAAGTCCTCATCACTAGAGCTGCATGGAAATCTTGGTGTTTAGCATATTAAACTTAAGGGTTAGCTCTTATTTTAAAGAAAAGTTTAAAAGCACAGAGCAGAGGGAGGGACTGGAGGCAAAACAGCTCCCCAGGCAGCCAACAAGCTTGCTCTGCCTCTCTGTCAAAGTCTCCACGCAGAGCAGGACAGAGCTGCCGCGTGTTGGAGGTGAGCAGAGGTGTCTGGGTGGGGTGGGAGAAGCTGGGAAAGGGGATTACAGCTTAAGTTATATACTGCGGGGAATGAGAGAGCCAGAGGGGTCTCAACACTGCCTTCAACTTCATCTGCCACCATGGGCTAAAGCCCTCAGGGTTCCATCCTCTCGTGGGGTCAGAAATGTTTTCTCCACAACAAAGCTCTCCCACCACAGTGCTTGTAGCATAGCACTGCTCATTTGGGCAATCGATACTGCCATTGGTGCTGCCTCCAGTACAGTAGTTTGAACATCAGCGTGGCCATGTGCCTCCACAGCATCCTTTGCTTGGCTCTCAGCAGCATTACAGCAAAGGCAGCCAAGATCTTAAAACATAAAAATGCTGTTTGTGGGCACGAGTTCCTCATTTTACCAGTGAGGAAGGCAAAGAGACATTCCCAAGGTGGCAGTGACTCTGGATGAGATTTCTAGCTTCTCACCTCACGTTCAGCCCTGAAGGACCTGAAAAATGTGGGTATCTGCAGTATTTCTTGTTCTCGTTAGCTGCTGATCTTATTTTGTTACAGTTGTTTTCCTTTTTTTTTTACATATTTATTGACTTTAAAAATATTTTGTGTTTTGTTAAAGTTTTTTTTTCCAGCAGCAGAGAAATTACAAATATGATGTTGCCATGAGTAATATGCTGACTTTGTTTTCTTGTCTACCTTAGGACATTTATTTACCCCTTCTTCACTAGAGGCAGACCTTTCCCACTGCAATTGCTTTTCTTTGGCACGTTATTCTGTATCTATAATGGCTTCCTCCAGGGGTACTACTTGATTTACTGTGCTGAATATCCAAACGATTGGTGCACTGACATCAGATTTACATCAGGTAATTACAGCTGTAGGATTCCCAAGATCTAATCTCCAAGCAATTTGTAAGCGTTTTGAAGTTTGTCCTAATCTTCACTGAACATGTGAGTCAAATCAGTTGTGATGGAGATTGACATAAAACCTGCCTGCTGGCCCAGATAAAACAAGTAGATGTGCAGTGACCTTTTTTTTTAATTTTTTTTTTTTTTTTTTGCCAGGCAGCCACCTTTGAAGGCGCACAATGGTCTGGTCTCAAATCCCCAGCCTTGTTTTACTGAGGCCATTCCAGAGCCTCCCGCTGCCATGGGCTGTGGAGATGCAGTCTGAGGCCTCAGCTGAACGGGGACGTGCCCTTGCTCAGACAGAAGTGTCCACCCAGCAGTGGCCATGTGCAAGTGCAAACTGTGGCTTTCTCTTCCCCATCAGGGAGCTTTGCACTCAATGCAGCTGTCCTGACCATGACAGAAAAGAAGGGCAAAATCTCAGCATAAATGAGGCTTTAGAGACAAAGGGGTCTTTTTTCTCATGTAAGGCCCATGGCAAGATTAGAGATCACACAGGGTCTGGCTGTATGTTAATATGGTCCCTTTATATTCCATAAGTTAATAGCCTAGCTGAATGTCAACCTGTAAAATCCCTGAAAGAATAACTGAGCAGGGACAGCAAGGTGGCATTACACACTTGGTCCTGCACAGAGGATATTTTTAAATGCACACATAGAAATACACAGAAATTAAGATTAATGTGGAGGTCTGAGGAAATGGTTTGGATATGACAAGTACAAAATAAGCAGGGTACTTTCTGTACCCTGTTTCAGGTTGTGGATGTGAGTTCATGTCTTTTCAGACAGCATCATATATTAAAAATCCTGGATATTATTTAATACAAGATGCCATATCCAACAAAGAAAACATGACATCACATGATTTATATTATCAATAACATATATATTTAATGAAAAAAAGGTAATTGGCATTAGCTGTACTTGAAACATTAAATAGAAAACTAACAGTATATTCTTGCTCTACAGACTTTTGCCAACTTTCTGTTGGTGTTGGAAGTGTTGTGGGTTTATCAGCACTTTGTCTTTTTTCTATACTTTGTAGCACACGCACCACCTCTGTTTCTTTTCTTGTTTCCCAATCATTGTCAGAGGTGGCTTTCTCAGTGCCTATTGTGGCATGAAATGTAGGGCATGTCACCTGCAGAGTTTCTCAGTCAAATGCCTCTAGTTTTTCTAGAACATCATAGACCAGCATTGACCACTAGCATCACCCCGCTTCAGGGAAAAAACACCACACTCAGAGCAAGGATGATGCTCTGGACATGCAGAGCTGTCCCCTCCTGCCCATCACAACTGATGTTAAAGGTGCTCCCTCAACGTTGGCCTTAAAAGCTAAGTCTGGGGGTGAGTTCCCTTTGCAGGGAGCACTGGCCCTACTCTTGCCTTCACACCATCAGGAACTTCCTCTTCAAAATCCCCAATGACCTCTAGTTATTAATTTAAATGGCGTATGGGCAATCTTTTGTTCTGGCCAGAATATCTGAGCATCCTTCAATGAGTAACTGCTCCATGTGCGTGCCCATAACTCTGTTTAAGCAAATTCCCTGCCAGGGGACAGAGCTGCACTGAGGTGTAGGTTCCCTTCCTGGATTCAGTGATGTGCTGGATAAGTTTGTATTCTCTGTGCTCCTCCTTCCCCAGCTGTAAAATCCAAGCAGTGGTACTTGCCTACAGCTCAGTGGTTACTCTGCAGCAACATCCACAGCTATGGCTGGCTGCCATCAGCCAGCTGCGTTAGTCGAGTACTTTGTCCCTGCCCTTGATGTTCAATAAATGGTGACTATGGCCATCTGGGAAGTTCAGGTTTTTCTCACACCAGCTGAAATTGCTCTGGTCTCACCGACAAAACAGCATGCTCAGGATGATCATTGTTCTGTCCAGAGTTGCTCTCCACACTGAAGCCACCCAATGCAGGTGATCCCAGAAGACTGTGATCCCACAGCTGACACAGAGATAGAGGGTTATTTGTCACCAGTCACCTATGCTTCTCCAATTCAGTAGTTTTCTCAGCAGCAGCACATCTTTTGACCTAAAAAATAATCTACCCACCTCACATTAGGTCTCCCACCTGCCTGCTCCAAAGATAAATCTCACATATCTGCTTGAGAAGGGATAACTTGCAGAGCTGCCTTTCTAATCCATTTCTTATTTGTTTCTTAGGCCTCCTCTTATTTCTGCTGGGAATGGGAATCAACATTCACAGTGATCTCCTGCTGCGCCAGCTGAGGAAACCTGGGGAAGTCACTTACAAGATTCCTCAAGGTATATTCTTATCCTCCAGCTCCTTGGAGAAAATAGGGCAGCAGGCTAGATAAAGTTTTCTGACTGAATTCACAGCAAAGTGACAATAATAGCAGAGATGACAACATCACACAGGGACTTGGTCCAGATGCCCCTCTGAGCTGCAGTGACTAGTGTGAGCTGGCTGCAGACAGTCCACAACAAGCAAAAAAGTATCTGGAAAACATGAGCTGTCAGAAGAGGTTTTAGGAAATGGGCTGGGTAATTTAAAGAAGATTGAAGTGCAATATAGGGAGAGGATTTTAGCCTTGTAAAAGGCAGCTGTAAAGAAGGAAATATTCATTTCCATGTCCAGGAAAAAGACGTAGTAGAGTTTTTACACTGCAAAAGAAAGATTCAAAGTGTAAAGTTTAGGGAAAAAGATAACAACAAGGATGCAAGGTGCAGAATTTCCTTTCCATCTCCTTCAAGGTGGGGCTTGGTGAGGAAAAGTGGCCATGGGCCAGAGTGCTGAACCAGAAAATGTCTATCCCTGTAGAGCAATATCGATGGGGATCCAGGAGTTTCCTGGTTTTGGTGTTGACTCTTTCTTCTGGCTTATTACAGATGGTAATATCTCTCCCTGAGTTTCCAACCTCCAATACTTACATGCCTCTTGTAGGTGTTGTGATTAGCTGAGATGCAAAACAGATCCAAATTTTGCATTCCTTAAAGGTAGTGGAGTTGCAAAATATTTTTTAGGGCCTGAAGAGAACTGACTAATGTTAAGATTTTTAATTTATATCTAGTAATGGACTTTCTTAAGTCCTTTTCTAAAAGACAATGAATGATTGTCAAAGTACTGCAAGCCCATGGATTAAAATCATCTTTGATTCTTGTAGGTGTACAACAGCCTTCTATAAGATCCTTCTTGTAGTTTGGCAATGGCTTCAGGGCAGTGTGTTTAGGTTGCTGTTTTGGGCTCTGAGTAAGAAAGGCAGTGTATTCTGCTGCTGGCTTCATGGGAAAGAACTTTGCATGTGCATGAGATGATGGTAAAAAATATGTATTTTGTCTGTCGATGCAGGGGGACTGTTCACCTACGTTTCTGGGGCCAACTACTTTGGAGAAATTGTGGAATGGTTTGGTTTTGCCATAGCAACATGGTCCCTGCCAGCCTTCGCCTTTGCCTTTTTTACTCTTTGCTGCATTGGGCCACGTGCTTATCACCATCACAGGTATCAAACTGTTTCTTGCCATATGCTGCCGCTTGCTCTTGCAGTGCAGTTTGCACCACACCAGGGAGGGGCAGAGGAGCAGGGCCAGGATTCAAGATAAAATCGAAATTTAATACTATGACAAAAAGCACGTCTGCTTATTTGTGAGGAGGTGAAAGTAAAGCAGTCAGCTGGAGGCCCTGTTGAATCAAGTGAGCCTGATGGTCATTTAGTCAGACACAAGCTACCTCACCACTTCTGCCATGTTACAGCCTCTTTTCACTGAGCCTTGCAAAAATGAACCTTTCCTAAGGGTTCTGTTGCAACCTCTGCAGTCTCTTGGTAAACGTGGTCCCCTAAATTCCTGAAGTTTCTACTTTAGGTCTGTTAGCACCTTAACAGTATTATCAGCGTTAAACTTGGTTTAAATGGTTTCAGATCACTCTTTTGCAGAGTCAAACACAGAGATTACAAAGCAAGGCAGCTTGGAGGAATATTAAGGTTCCTCACCTAAGCTATATTGAAACTGTGCCATTTTCTTCCAGGTTCACTCTCTTGCTTATTTTCTTTCAGGTACTATCTCAAGACATTTACGGACTATCCAAAATCAAGGAAAGCCTTGATTCCTTTTGTTTTTTAATGATTGAAATATGGACTCTGTGATCTTTTTTTGTAGGTCTTTTTTCAGTTCCTAGTTTTAATGTTAGTTCTGACTATAATTGTACAAATGATAACCCGGGGTTGTAACGGACAAGAATGTAACTTGGAAGTGAAGTTCTTGTTTTTAATTACAGGGGAAATTGCAGATAGTTGTGGGCAAAGGGACTCCCCAGACACCATGTTTGCTTGTCAGTGGAGTTCTACCTATGGAAAAATGGATATATAATTGCACTGATATCAGAGAAAAAGCATTAGCTAAAAACTGATGCATAAAAGTATAAAGTAAGCCTATGACTTCAGAGAAAGTCTTCAGTGGCCACTCCAGTTTATAGCACTTCTGCAGCTGCTTCTTCCTGCCTCCACGCCGTAGCACACGTGCCCTTGCTCTGCCAGCACTGCTCTAGGTGTTGCCACACTTTAAACAGCAGTAGGGGTCTTCTTTGCCAGGAAAACAACTCAGCCCTTTATTTTGTCCAAAAGCCCGCTTAGCTCCCAGAACCATAATCAACAAGAGGATGCCTGTGCTGGCACGAGGCTGGGAGCAGCGTGCCATGGCACAGAGGTGAGGCGAAGTACGTGGAGATGGCAGTATCTTAAGCTGGCACTCACAGCAGCAATGTCTGTGTTCCTTCCTTAAGCATAGATAGTCTTCAGACATCAGGGTGGTTTTTTTTTGTAATGTACTTTGTTAAAGCGATTTCAGCTCCATTAGGATTTTTTTTTCCTCTTTTCTCTTGCAAATCCACAGCTCTTTCCAGAATAAAAAATTTTCCACTCAAAAACACTCAACTGTTGTTCATAAAAAGACTTGAGATGGTGATGTGTGACAAAATTTACAACAAATAAAACGCTCTGTGTCCAAGAAAATGTTCTTCAACACTGGCAGTACATTTTGTCTACAGAGAACATTTTCAGATACTCATGTTAAGAAATGATACAGAGATTATTATACTGAACTTGCACAAAACACACAGGATGCTTCTTCTTAATTTCAGAATAGCTAGGTATTTTCCTAATAAGTGTCATTAACCTCAACAGGAAGAGACATCCCCACAGATGCTGATAGCTTTATTTACCCTTTAGAGCATAAAATCCTGCTAAGAATTATGCTGAGTAGCTGGAACGAAAAAGACCAGACTGCACATACTTTCTGCTGCTGGAGCAACCTGATTGACTGTACATAATGTTCTCCAAAACACAATAAAATTTATGTAAAAACACAGAGCTCTGCTAGCCTATAACTTACTGTTTGCAGTAACAAATCTTTGTGACATTGCTTACCGAGTGCTGCTCATGCTGGCTTCCTCTTTCTGACCAAACCCTCCCTTCTTCATCCACATTATCAATTGTCTTCATTACTGTAGAGCAGAGTGGCCAGCTGAGGCTGGGTCCCATTGCACTCTCCCTTGTGCAGCACAGAGGAAAGCTGGACCCTCTGCCATGTGTATTAGGCAAAGGTGAGGCAGGGATGGAATCAGGTGCAAACTGAATTGTCATTGGACGGGCCATGAATTTCACATCAGCATCACAAATGTGCGTTCCTTTTGTTCCCTTATGTAATTCCTCCATGTGGAAACACACTGGGAGTGGGGTTGCTGGGTGTGAAGTCAGGGACAGAAAGGCTAGAGGCAACGAGGACGGCACATGGGAGGGAACAGTCTCTCCCCCTGTGAGCGGATGTTGAGTGGGAGCGGTGGCCGTGCTCCCCAGGGCTCCCTGCCTCAGCAGACTCTCCCTGATGATTCCTCCTTTCACTTTTTTCCCCCAAAGCCTCACAAGTGAGGAGAAAGCAAACAGCCCATGTGTGCCAGCAACCATAGCTGCTGTCTCCTCCATCTGTTGCTGAGCCTGGGGAGGTAGTGGGGACCAATCCCTGCCTCATCCTTTGGACCAGAACAGGGTTTGTGCAGACTTCTCTGTCCTTCCTACATACCCCTTCTGTCAGAACAGGACTATTCCCTGCTTTTATTTTCTCTTGCTTAATATTTTCACCAGATGGACCATTACTATCACCACTATCCTTCCTGGGACAGGATACTGGCTGCTAGGAGCTCGGGAACCAGGTGAGAGAACTGTTACAGGCCAGAGGTCCAAAGATGGGAGCTGGCCTGCCCACAGGTTGGAGGGGAGCTTGCAGCCCTGTGACCCTGAGCACAGAGTGCCTCAGGATGCTGGACAACTTTGCAGGAGTACATCCATCCTCTCTATCATGGGCCCTTGACATGCTATGTGGAAAGGAGCTGCAGGCAGGAAAGGACCACATCTTCCTTCTGCCCTGCTCCATGGCATTTTTGGAGAGCAGGAACAACACAAGTGCTTTAAACCCCTACAAGCAACAACTACAATTAATAGTGACAGAGAGGAGACAAAGGCTCTCCCCATGTTGAGCTCCTCCATGGGGCTGGTGGTTGCCAGCCCCTGCCACTGGGGCACCCAGTCTGTCCCAGGGCAGCACACCCGGGAGCCCCAAGCTGCTGAGAAATTTATTTCACCATCCCTGATTTTTATAAAGAAAAATACATTCCCCTTGTCTCTGAGAGAAAAACAGAATGGACATTTTCATAACCCTCTGCTCAAGCCTGTGGAGGCTATGTACACACGATTTCAGATTTGACTGTAAAATGTTCTGGAAAGCAGCACTTTTTTGACTTTCTTGGCGATGTCCTTTTGTTCTGCCAAAAACCAGCAGAAGTGTCCTCTGCTGGTAAACATTCAAAATAATAGCTCATTCATTTTTCCCTCCTTTTGCAATACTGATTTTCCGTTTGGTTTCCCCCCATCATTCACATTTTAGTTTTCATATAACTTTGAGGAAGTTTTCTGTTTCTGTGCTGTTCTCCCAGAGAGGGACTTCTTGAGAACAGCTCTGCATATTGCTGTTCTGCTAGAAAGACCTCTCTTATGTGGGGCTGATAACCCAGCCTTCATCTCTGCTGGCAGCCTGCTGGGAAAATTAATCCTTTCTCCTCATGACTCTTGTTAATGTAATTATTTTTGTATTGTTCAAGTGCTTTTTTCAAAAGCTGACTTTCCATAAACATGTGCTTTACTGCTGTGGTAATACACAAATGGCTTAATCACGCATCTGACAGTTTCTTCTGTGAAATGCATTTTCTGCACCTAAGTGATCAGACAGACCACTAATTGATACCAGAACTTAGATATCTAATCTCTTCTGACAACTGAAACCAGAATTAAATGCTGTTCACTGGGAGGCAAAGAGGAGAACAATGGCACTTGCCAACCCTCATTCCCATCTTTAGTGCCACACACACTTCAGCCTTCGCCTGGCTTCAGGCCATGCTTCAGATGAGAGGTCACTCAAGACAATAGAACACCGGCTGCAGTCAGTGTAGGGTATTTGTAGCTATTGTTTCAGAGTACATCTTTTACATAATATATTTACACAACAGGCAAAAAACTTCCAATTTTGGCCCTTGAGTGACCATCTCTAGGAAAAGCACTAATCTAGGAGCTGTACTCCTGCCCCCATTTCTCTCCTGGAACATGAAGCCTCTTATGCTCGGCCAGAAGCTCTGAATGTTTATGCAGAAATACCAAACCATGATGGGTCCTGGAACAACAAATACTGAGAAACTCTCCCTACTTAGGTAGGGTGCTCTAATGGCATGGGCTCAAGAATATCTGTTTTGTACTCTTGATGGTGTCACTGATTGACGGACAAAGTTCAGCAAGTTACCCACCACTTTTGGGTTTGTTTTTCTTTCTATTTCTTGTCTCTGGAAAAGGTCTTTAAGGCCACGATTTATTTTCATAGCACTTGGCAAAGCAGTCCCAAACTCAGTTGACGCCTCTAGATACCGATAAAATGCAAGAAAGATACAGCCTGTTGCATATTCCTGGCAGACAGAGTTGTTACAATATTGCAAAATAATCTAAAGACATGTGAGACGTCCAAATGCACTGAAATGCATCTTAGTGAGATAATTCTGTAATATTTCATCACAGCAAAAGGATAACGTCACTCACAGAACCTTAGGTTCATTTGTTGACAGCAGAGGGACTGCCTGCTTGTGTTTGATTCACTTGAAAAAATAACACAATCCTTTTTAATCTGAATCACCACAGGGTCTCCTTTAAAAACAATCATAGTCCTGGAAGCCTCATATCCTCTCTTCTGCCACCTCTGGGGTCCTCCTGAACCAGTCTAATTTCTATGAGCAGGCTTTTCTAGAGACGTCTCCTCTCAAACACAAACACTGCTGTCCCTGCATGTGTAATGTGACCTAGGAAACAAACACCCGATGCTAATTCAGGGCCAGGGCCTGCTGGTTCCCCATGAGTGGCACCATACTCTGTGAGTAAAGGCAACGATGGCCACCGAACTGCTCAAGAATATGCCATTATTCAATACAAAGAGAGGCAGCAAGTCTGATCTCTGTGGGAGCAAAGTCAGTGGGCAGACATCAAGAACTGCCGAATGGGAACACCCAGAAAAGTAAAGGAAGACATTCAGGGCTGGTTCAGGTTTATGCTACCACAAGTTACAAGTGCTTTTCCAGTGAACCTGTCTTTAGTGCTGTAAGTCTAAAAGGTAATAGAAAACAACATGTTTTTCAAACATTCATTAATTTAGTTCCTTTGCATATTCAGAGGAGAACAGACTGATCTTAACTGATAGAACATTAGGACTAATCCCACCACCATGCCTTTCCGCTTGGTGCCGAGGCCTCTCCTTCCCAGCAGCACCAGCTCCTCCAGACAGTGGTTCACAGCACCCAAGCTGGAAGCCTACAATCCCACACAGGAGACAGGGATGCTACAAGTACATCCCAGGGAGCCCACGTTTCTCCATTAATTCATTGCCTATGGCCAGGCAGGAGGCAGCTGTGTTTGGGCACTCTGACCCACTGTGTCACTCAGAACCTGAGTTATCCTATTTGAACACTTCTCATATAAGCTCCAGCATCACAGGTGCCTGTTAGGTTGCTTTACAGTCTATTTGCCTACTTTCCCCAA